GAGAAAAGAGATCATCGGCTACGAACGACCACACGATTCGACCGCCGCGCGAAGAGTCATCGCGCGCGACCCGTCGGACGCGACATGTGGAGGGTCATGGGCCCGGAGGAGCTCGACGTCCTGCGCGTTCTCCGTTCGCCCGTCTCGCGAGCGCACGTGTCGCCGGTGCGGTTTCTGCGCGACCGAGAGCTGGGTGTGCGCGGAACCGGCGCGGCGAGACAGGTGGTCGACCGGGGGCCCATGCGCGATTGGCCCCGCGGCGCGAGACGAAGGGTGTACGCGTAGCACCGCGAGAGAGCGTGCGAGGACTACGAGAGGCGGGTGCGCGGCGAACTCGAGAGAATCGATCGGCGCGTCGGTCGCGCGGAGAACAGGAGCAGAGCGCGCGAGGACTACGAGAGGCGGGTGCGCGGCGAACTCGAGAGAATCGATCGGCGCGTGGATTTCGGTCGCGCGGAGAACGGGAGCTACTGGGCGAGGCGAGTCGTCGAGAGGCTCGAGGGTCGCGCCCATCTGCGCATCGAGATACCCGCGGGTGGCGAGAGACGCCGCGTCGAGCTGCTGGTGACGAACCCGCGCGTCTACGGCGAGTTCAGGTATCCCGCCGTCGCGAAACGGCGGATCGACGAGCACAGGCTGCAGTGGGAGCGCGAGTCCGACGACGAAAGTAGCGACGACGCCTTCTGCGACGCGTGCGCCGTTCCTCGAGAGGAGTGCGCGTACCGGAGAGGCGAGGAGTGGAAGAACTACCTCGTCACGAACGTGGACCGAACGTGTCGACGGTGCGGCGAGATCTCGTGCAAGTGCCACGCGGAGGAGTGCGACGCGATATAGACGAGGAGACTCGCGGATTCGAGTCGCCGGCCACTCTGGCTGCGACGGCGCGCCTCGAACGGTGTCGCGAGTATATGCGTTATCAATTATTTGTAATATTCGATATGTATTTTTTACAATAAATATATCGCATCTTTGTGTCTCTCTATTCGATGTATCACATTTTTTTTACGTATGTCAACCTTCTCGCTCCACACGTGTACACGGCAATTTTTTGCACCGTTCAATATATTTTATCAGCGTGTACGTACGTCAATTTTTTTATTCACAATTGTAACAATAATCCACTCGTGTTTTTTATATTTCTCTTAGATTTTTCCATTCTTCGTTTTACAACGCCAAAAAAAAAAACGATTCGAAGCAGAGAATTCTCGCGTGAATCGCGCGATCCGCTTCGCATGCAACTGACCCCTTTCGCGCGCGATAACCTCTCCGCGAGATATGCGTCCTCCGCGACGCGATTTCCCCCCCCCCCACCGGCGACGGATCTTCCGCGACGGTCCAAGAGCGGACCATCTTCGCGAACACCTCGGCGGCCCGTCCGCTCGCCCGAATCTCTCCGAGACGTACGCCGAGACGTTCTCTCTCTCTCGGCGATCGCGCGCGTGTCGACCGCCCCGTCGACGCTGGTATACCCTCGAGAAAAAAAAGGTAGGAACGAACGGCAGAGAGTCGCCGAGCTCGCGCGGCGGCGCGCGTCGACGCTCGTGCACCACCGAAATGAAACGAACGGTGGAGTCGCGGAACCGGCGCGCGAACCGCGAGCGAGCGAGCGACCAGCGGGAGCGAGCGAGCGAGTCCCGCGCGGCGTCCCGAGCGCTACCCGTCTACGCTATTCTAGATCGAACTTTTTTTCGCTCTCGGCGCGGACGTTTCTGATCGTCGCGCGCGTCGCGAAGCGAGATCGAGGAAGGAGGAAAACGAAACGGGACGTCTCTCGCGACACGGCGAGGCGCCGGCGTCGTCCCACTTGGCGCGAGACGGGACGACGCCGCGTCCACGAGCGGGATTCGAGCGCGGGACGAGCGGGAGATTCTCGATCGCGCCGCGGGACGCCCGTTTCGGCGCCTCGCGTCCGCGAAAACGGCCCCGCGGCGGCGAAAACGCCCGATTCTGGGAATTCCGTCGAGCGCACCGGAACTCTCCTGCGTCCACGCGTCCCGCGATCCCCGTCGCTCGGTTGCGCGCGGCGACCGGCAACGGCGAGAGCGACGCCTCGGGGAGCGAGACGGGACGAGATGCGCGCGGTATTGGTTCATTCGGTTTTCGAGCCGAGCTCTCGAGCGACAGGAGCGCTTTCGCGGCGCGCGACAAGAAGGGGTTCTCACGTTTTTTTCTTTCCCGTACAATCGCTTTTCATCGCGGTGCAGCAGACGAGAGCGTCTCGTAAGAAATCGTTAACGTCCGTGCCTCCGATTTCCGAAGAGATCTATCCATCTCGCGACGAGGCGCACCTTTTTTCCAACGGGTATGCTTCGAACGCTATAATCCCCCCCCCCCATTAGTAGCGTATAAAGGGAGCACGTTCCGCCGTTGGTGCGACGTCGTCGCGTGCCCAACGTGGCGCAAACCGTTATCATGTTCGAGGAGATCGTGGGTGACGAGGTGGAGGATTACATGTTCGACGAGATCGCGGTCGACGAGGTGGAGGACGTCGTTCGCGTTCTCGTCGGCGATCCGGCCGATGACGAGCGCCTGGTGTCGCCGGTGCGGTTTCTGCGCGACCGAGAGCTGGGTGTGCGCGGAACCGGCGAACGCGCGGCGAGACAGGGAGTCGCGGTCGACCGAGATTCCGTGGCCTCGCGGCGCGAGACGAAGGGTGTACGAGTTGCTTTGCGAGAGAGCGCGCGACGAGAGCGATGGTTGGTTCGAGTTCCTGTGTGGGAAACTATTGAAACGTCGACTCAAGAATGTTCTGGCGTACGAGTACTTTTGGGCCGAGCAGGTCGTCGAGAAGCTCGAGTCGGGGACCAATCTGCGCATCGAGATTCCCGCGGGTAGCGAGGGGTGCGTCGAGTTGCTGACGATGGACTCGCGCACCTACGACGAGTGGAGGTATCCGGCCGCCGTGCGACGGCTGCTCGACGAGCACAGGCGGGGCGACGTGCGTCCGACGACGGCGACGACGACGAACGACAATGACGTCGTCCTCTGCGACGTTTGCAACGTCCCTCGAGAGGAGTGCGCGTATCGGGAAGACGAGGTGGAGGAGTACGCGGTTCAAAACACGGAACGATCGTGCGCGCGGTGCCGCCGAGTCGCGTGCAAGTGTTCCGACGCGGTGTAGAGAAACGGACCGCTTTCTCTATCTTTTCCACGCGGTCGGGGGTAACATTAATAATAATAATAACATAAACGTGAAAAACGAGACGCGGCGAACGCTACCCAACCGTGTCTATTCTCGACCGAGCTTCTTTTTCACCCTCGGACGTTTCCGCGCGTCGTGACGGAGAAGGAGGAAAATGGGACGCCTCTCGGCGGGCGTCGCTTGGTCGCAAGACGACGCCGAGAGCGGGATGGCGCGCCGCCCCCGCCTCGCGGAAACGCGGGAATCCCGTCGAACTCTTTCGCGCGATCGGCGACGCTCGCCCGACGCGAGAGAGAGAGCGAGAGAACGAAGACTGTACGCGATAAACGCTAACGTGAAAAACGAACGCGACGAAACGCGAACGACGACGGAACCGTGCCTCCTTTCGAAGAGATCTCTTTGCGACGACGCGTCTTTCTATTTCAAACGCTATCAAACCCCCCGTAGCGTATAAAGCGAGCACGTTCCGTCAGTCGCGTGCCCGGCGTAAAGAGACATCGCGAGACATGATCGACGAGACAGCGAGCGACGTCGTTCGCGTTCTCGGCGACGACGAGCGCCTCGTGTCGCCGGTGCGGTTTCTGCGCGACCGAGAGCTGGGTGTGCGCGGCGCGGCGAGACGGGGAGTCGCGGTCCGACGAGATTCCGTGAGCACGTGGCCTCGCGGCGCGAGACGAAGGGTGTACGCGACGCGTGGTTTCGCGAGAAGGCGTACGACGAATACGAGAGGTGGTTCGGGCACGAACGCTGGAAGGAGTTGAAACATCGATACGTGGACGTTCTGGAGAACGAGTACCCTTGGGCCGAGCGAATCGTCGAGAGGCTCGA